ATACATTTATATAATAAAATAATTCCGGATGCTCTGCAGAGACACTTGGTTAACATTTAAACCATTAAATTATTTATTAAAATGTATATGTGTTAAGATCGATGATAATAAAACAAAATAGTTATTCGGTTTTGAATATCTATAATTGTTATATTTTAAAAAAATATTGTACATTTGACTACAATAAAGCAACGGGTTTGAGTCCCGCTTGGGTTAATTTGATTAACTAGAATTTCTATTTATTAATTTATTTATAACTAAGGCACGTCATTTAGATATTGTAAATAAGTTAACATATTTACGTTTTAAACCGTTACAATTGTTTTTTTTTAATGAACTACTCGCATAAACTACAGTTCATAATCGTGTTTAAAAAGGCACGTGCATAACGTTTATTTGCAGTACATATCGTAATAAAAATCACTGGCGAACAAAAGTCGCGGGCGCAGCTACTCTGAAATATAATAAAACAAACACGCTGGCGCAACTTCGCTGATTAGCCGAGCCTTGGGCTGATATCGGTTGATAAGTAGACAGCGATGTGCTCCAAGTTTGAGTTGAAATGCAATTAGATAAGGAGTCTTGGTACGAGTGTTTGCGAAACTGCAAAATTCGTTTTTATTTATTTTCAAGATCTAGTACTGTGTTTATAATTGGATCTCGTACTTGAAATAATAATGGCTAGGAAGCTGTTGTCCAGACTTCTGTGCCCCAGTTGACAGAGAAATTTATCCACTCCTCGGGATTCGAACCCAGCCCCTCATGCAACGCTCTTTTTACGCGTTACGTCGTTTTGTTGCCACGACGAGTTGCGATTTACTTTTGATTTAGAGATTCGGTGAAATCGGCTGCGCGGGCGCCTCGGGTTGCCTTTAAGGTTAACTTTAACTGTCAAGGTTTTCATGAAGTAAGTAGTTTCTTGAATACTGTCTGTAGATTACGCGAGTAGGGCTCATTTAAATAAAATACTTTTATAACTAATTTAACGGTTTAAAACGCGAAATATATAACAAACTTATTTTACGTTAAACTTATTTAAAAATTATTGTAACTACGCCCTGGCGTTAGTTTCTCGAAGACCATTCTAGCCTGGGACAGTATGTACCGTGGTTACTCAAATTTTATTATAGTTTCCCTACACACATCTTATGTATAATATTATAAAAGCTTCTACCAGTTTCCGAGGCCCTAATTTATTTTAACTCTAACTCTTAGAATCACGTGTAATGCCAGTCAACGACCAAGCGTTATTGTAAAAAGTGCAAGATCCATTTTAGTTTTTTGAGCTGTGGGTGTTTTGCTTTGAGCTATCGGTGTGCCCACGAAAAGAGCGGAGAAATAAGTTTTCTGTTCTTTAAAAAATTTAGCTCTCAAAATGTACTTTTTTGGATAAGCAAGCAGTAAATAAAGCATAATAAAGGTTGTCCCTGATATGCAGATAAACAGACAAAATAAAAAAGTGACCTAGATAAATTGTTCTATATTGTTAGTAGTCAAATACATAGTAGTATATTTCGCATTTTAAACACACTTACACGGGTTTGAAACATGAAATAAATTATCTTTATTTTTAAATTATTGTAGTTACCAATGTTTCGAATGCTTTGCAACAGTCGTGGTCACGTAGTGACGTAGTTAAAACAATTTAAAAATAGGTTAACTGAATCTCTTCGCGTTTTGAAGCGTTAAAAATGTTTTTTAATTGGTTTGGATAAATAAAATCACACACATTTAAAAAATATTTGCGATAAATAATGCGTTTTCAGATATTGAACGAAGGATGTGGGTGATGAAATTTGCTCTTTTACGACTTACTTTTGACGAAATTAGGACTGTATTCTCACTTGCCTACGAACGACGACGTAATAGATCACTGTTCGCCATCAGTCCGGCGAGAACAAATTAATGTATTAAATAAATATATTCCCAAATTATCCGAACACTTCACATTATTGACAGTGTACATTGTAAAATAGACATTTTTAATTGCACGGTGAGCGATGTCATAAGGACAATAACGCATTTGTAATATGTAGTATGATATCGTATATGATTTGAAAGGTATATTTACATTTTTGACTGTTACTCACAATCATGTTAGAATTCATATTCTTTAAATATTTGGTCTTTAATAAATAAATAATACTTAACTTACCGACTTGCAATATTTTTTTACTTGCTTACAATAATTTGTATCATCGTTATGATAACAACGCTGCCTTTATGACCACAACGACAAAAAACGGTCGAACAGTTTTTCTTAGACTACTGGTTCGAGCAAAAACTTTAACTTTTGTTGACTATGACATAATATCCCAAGTTACTTCGATAACAGACACTGGTGAAGATAGAAAATTTATTGGGCTGATCAATATGTATAACTTGACAGGGTAGCTCAATTAGTTGGAGACAGCACGGAACGCTGTGGGTGCCGGTTCGAGTCATGCCGGTGTCGTAAGAAATTTTCAATCTAAAATAAATTTTTAATTTATTTACTGCCATTGTGTGCACCTATGAAAAATATTAAACTTTTCATAACTTAAAATTGTTCTTATTTTCCCGGACTTCGAACCTCTCGCGTTTAACGCAACTCACATATACCGGTGTTTATATATATTCTATTTTTTCAAATGTATTCAAATTGCACCGTTGCAAGTGAGGGTTGAATTTCAAGGGTACAGTGAAAGGGTTGCACAAGGACGAAGTGATTAAATTTCGTCCAATTTTTGGCAATTAAAGTGGATGGGGTAAAAATGTACGTGCTACAATATAAATATCTATTCAGTTGAACCAGAAATTTATTACGTTTAATATGTTTTAAACACTAGGCTAGTATCTCACCATAGAATACGAAAAGCAAAAAAATCGATAAACAATTTAAAAAATTTACAACTCGGTAACTCAATTGGTTAGAGCAATATCACGGAACAGTGTGGTTGCCGGTTCGAGCCTTCTGCCCGAGTCGTTTTTTTTTTTTTTTTCAATTTATTATTGATGTTTAATTCATATAGTGCAATAACATGTGAAAAATGTTAAAGTTTTGGACTTGTGAAGATTAAGGGTCCCCTACTGTAAAGTAGAATCTGCTACCCTGTGCAAAAAATATGGAACTAACTTAACAGCTTTGATTGTGACCACCGCTGCTGTAAAACATTCGAAACGTCAAGCCATATTAAAATAAATTGTAAATAAGTTAACTAATATATTTCCCGTTTTAAATAGTTAATAAGTGGTTTTTTTATCTTAATCATAACCTTATTATGTGTTAGGCAGACCAACTATCATTTTACAGGAATCAAATCTCCTATCGCACGTAAAACACTACGCCACGGAGGCGATATCGAAAGATTTAAGATACGTTTAATATTACAATCTCTGCACTTACCACATAATATTATTATACTTGAGAAATGAACGTATAAACTAATTACTCAACCCCGGCGGCTTGACATTTTTGTCCACGAATAGAATATGTCTAGAGAGATATAAATCTTAACTGTGGGCCATAAGACCTAGAATTGCCCGAGGAAAAACTGTTACGAATAAAAGCGAATTGATACGATTGGTAAGTGCGGTGTTTGGTGTAAAGGGTAAGCTATAGCGGTTTAATAAAATCAAATTTCAAACGCTGTGATGAACAGACTGGGAAGCAAATAATAGCACTCTTGAAAAACATCTGTTACACACAAATAGGTCAATAACACATTTTAATAGGCTTTTAAAGTGCGTTATTTATACATTCGTTGTGATGTCACCTAAGTTAGGTCTAAATTAAAACCCAAATAACGTAGCTCAATTTGCTAAAAGCACAGCTCGCTGTGAATACCAGTTCAATGCTGGCCCAGCTTGTATTTTTTTTTATTCAAATATATCTTTAATGTACATAATGCCATCGCACGGGCACCTGTGAAAAGTTATTAAAGATTTTAAAGGTTTAATTTACTATCAACAAGATATGTGTCCGAAAAAGGCAAAACGTATTTTAACATTAATTATGTTAAATAAACAAACTGAACTTTCGTGCGATTTCATCTTTCAATTACTTTCTCTATTGGTAACACTGGGGCATACAATTGCTTCTGGTAGGTCTTATCCAATAATTATTTAAATTATAATCGTAATATATGAGGTTGCTAGAGGCAGAGTGGCCTAATAACAAAAAACATGATTTTCAATAAGGAGGAAAATAAAAATGCGCAATTAACTTAGGCGAAAGTGAATTTGTAGTATAATTTGTGTAAGAATTATGTTAACAATTTTCGGCCACTGTGCTCTTGATTAATATTTTTACACTATGAAAATAGAAATAACTCAATTCATAAAATTGCAGTTAGGCTACTCTCCCTCTAGCGGCCTCATATTTTTAGGTTGTTTCTTATCGACGCTTGACAAACAAATAAATTAACTTGGTGTTTAGGCATTCTCAATATTAAAGGCTTTTGGCTTATTACTTGCACCACACAATCTTTTTTGACACAGAACTGGTTCCAATAACGAAAACTCGGCTCGGCCAAGATTTCAAAAATGGTCGCGGCGCATAGTTGTTGCGATATGTTCGGAAGCTAACATATTATATTATATTTATTAGTATACATGTCACCCCAAATATTAAAGTGTCTAAGCGTCGACTTTCGACATTTTATTGCAAACCGCTAAGATTATAATCTACCGAAGTAACTCGTTGAATTGGGGCTGCTAGAGGCAGAGTAGCCTAACAAAAAACATAGGAGTTTTATATGTTAACAATTTTCGGTCACAGTGCTCTTGCAAATTGACATCTTTACACTAGGATAATATAAATAACTCAAGTCATGAAATTGCAGTTAGGCTACTATGCCTCTAATATATATCTTCTATACAAGGCATACGCGCGGTTTTCTATATGTCATTAACTTTTTATATATAAGGGTAGAAAAGTTTTTGCAGATTTTGTATTCGATACTTCCTCATCCACAAACGGCTTGACCGATTTTGATATAACTTTTACCTTTCGATAACAGGTCCGAGGTGGCAGTACGGGCGTTCCACCGCCCGCCCCGCCAGCTATCCATGACACGGAGAAGCGTTCGCCGCTGCTGCCGCATCATCAGCACCAGCCGAGGCCGGTGCCCGTTGCGCTACCGGTTGTAGCACCAGGTAATTTTGTGTGTGTTTATAAGATATTTCCGAGGTCATTGCCAAACAGGACAAGAGTGAAATTTTCTTCACATGCATACAAGTCTTACCTTGAATTGTTTAAAATTCTTCAAGCAATTGAGGGAATTCTAACATCTCCTGATAATGCCGTCCGCACGTGATGGCGAAACGTCGAGAATCTCTTCGTCTCGTCGGCCTAACAGCCCGATAAATAAGCCGTGCTCCTGGCCATGCTGGCCGTGACAGCCTTACACAACTTATTAAGGCTTCTTTCTTCCTTCTTTCGTTCTTTCTTACTATAATTAGGAAACAGTACCCGATGTCGACGTTCGCTGTCGTTCGTAACGCTTTAAAAAAAAACTTAATAACAAAATATAACTAAGTTTCATTTTTGTTTCAATATCTTTTTTTGCAGCCGTAGCAACAGCAGTGCCGGAGCCGATTGTCGTTGCACCGGCAGCGGCACCAGCTCCCAAGCCGCCGACAGTCGTGAAAGCAGCGAAGAATGCCAAAGTCAATCAAAAGGTCAGATCATAACTATACTGCGCCTATGGGTTTACTCGCCTCGTGATCCTTTCGCAAATACTTAAGGCTACAAAATATTAAACTTAGGGAGAAAGAAAACAATACAGCATTGACGCTATTTAAATAAAACGCGAAATATATTCGTTAACTTATTCATTTCTGTAAGGACGCAGCGAGATTTTCCAAATATAAACTACAGGAGGCGCTAGCGTATCAGTTTTGACTTTGACATTAGGGACACCCTCCATCTTTAATCCCCCGGTGATCACGGCTGCTGCAAAACATCCAAAACGGCACTCAGGCGTTAAAATTGATTAAAACTCAAAACTCAAAACACGAAATATATAAGTTAGTTCATAACTTATATATTTCGTGTTTTGAGCTGTTACAAGTGGTTTTTTTTAGTTAATATGTTTTATTATAATATCTCTTTTAAGTAGGGTGCCAATATTAGTGTTTTTTTTAAATCGATTAAGCTGTTTTTCCGTGATAAAGCTGTTGTTATACACACATACAACAAGACCCGATATTTATAAAATTAGTCGTTGATGGACGTATATTGAGTAATTCGGCTCGACCGAATCTAGTTTATCATATTACACCCACTTGTCGGAAAATTGCGCTGAAATTGGTAATTAAATTCGCGTAATAATTACAGTCGAGGAAAATAATGATTTACCTACATTATTGTAGCCGGGTCGATTCGTACGGTTGTGTGCGAAAACACGTTTCCATTCTGTGCCGCGCCATTGTTGCAAATAGTGATGTTCCCGTGTATCGATAGTTGGACCTCGAGAAGATAGAACGGTATATTACGGTCGATGTTTTCAGAGCAAAGTGGCTGCGATGCTAATTGACATGAGTGTGTGACTGTTTTTAGCTATATGCCTAGTGTTGTCCTTGTGTAAGCCAGTTTCATATCGATTAACATCGTACTCTATCAAATTAGGTATCAAATTATTTTTAAAATGCGCTTTTGGTTCTATTACCACACCGACATATAATTATTAAGTATGTTAAATAAAAACTTAAAAATATATTTTTTTACACTAATTTAAATTTTATTTTTATGTACTAATCTAAGGAAGGGCATCTCCAATACATCATAGATGAATACACACTTAAAATAAAGATTAGACTACAGTAATGCGATTTTAGAGTGTAATTTATGTGATACTAAAAAGTGAAAAATAGTAAAGTTTTCAAAAATTTATTATTTTCTCATTAAAATCCAAGGCCTCATTTTACTGATAAGAATTTCTAATGCATAATAATTAGTGACGCATTTCAAAAAGTCCATATAATAATAATCTTATTATGATTCATTTTACTCCATTAATATAATTATTTTTTGGGTTTTAATAATCGTCTTTTAATATATTTGACCGTGAGTAGCTGGTACTTGGGTAATAGGAAACATATAAACAACTTTTACTGATGTGATAAGGTATGTTCTTCAGTTTTAGTGTCGCCATCTGTTCCGTACTTTAATATTTGACAGGTGCTCAACGGTCCATCCTAACTGGCTGTCGAAAAACAAAGGATTACATCGACATATAAATACAAACAACGTTATTATTTTAAATACATATAATAAGAAACCGGACGAGTTGAAACGACCCACCCTTAGACGTTCACTTTTAAACGTAGTGTAGCACCCCTCGAAATGAATTCCACACGCATCGATTAAAATAATCGATCTGCAACATCCCTACCGCGCGCCAGTCCACCGCCGCGCGGCTCCCCTACCGGTCGCGCCCGCATTATTCAAATTTCGAATCGAAATAGAACTTTTATTTGAATACGTGCGTATTTGAATTCGAAAAAGTTCGACGGGCTACGAAACAGATAGTCTTGTGGTCTAATAACGTTTCAGCGTCAAAATAGCTTCAGCGTGTAAACAAACGTTACGTAACGTGTTGTTACACAGTTTTTGCGCCGGTGTGTGTGTTTGTGTGCGTTATCGGAAATTTGCTGGCCGCCAACAGAATTAGTTCTAGTGAAATTGGTTTGGAAAATACATTTTCCCCTCATTATTTAAAACGAATGTGTTCGATGCAAATTCTATACATTTTTCCATCGCGTCAGATAGGTAATGTGCAAAAATAAAAACGGAATGACTGTCAAATTTATTAAATTTTAATAATATCGTTATTGTTAGGGTTCTACGATATAAACAATATATAAAAAGAAGCATAAATATAATATTATATACCTAAATAAAGATAATATACAATATTATAGTTGCCTCTGAAAATGTGACCACTCAGTTACGTTGGGAGCGATGTATGTACCTATATGCGATGTTAATAAAATACACAGGTCTAGCGAACTGGCGGACTATCCAAAGCGTTTACAAATTTAGGGAGGCGATACCTAAAATAACGAATTGATTGAAATTCAAGTGTTTTAAGTAATTTAGTATTTCATTACTCGTTTATTTTTATTAAATTAATTTTGTATCCAACAAGGAATTAAATATGAGTGCGTATTACTTTTGTATTCGTTGCGATTCTTTCTCTTAAGAAACATCGTTAAGGGAAATATTTATAATTTTATACCTAAAGAATACTTTCAAAAGCATTGCTATAAAAATTTAATTAATCTGTACAAGGTCGTTCTTGTATGGATTGACGTAAATAACTCTACATGACTCGTGATTACTATAAAAAGTAGAAAAAAATGTATGCACACAGATTATAGGTATTTTTATATTTTTTAGTAGCTTCCGTCGTCTATATATATAGATATTTTCATGTTTCAGTTGAATAATTATTGCGTGAGAAAGTGTATCGAGCATACATTTTTGGTTTTATGGTAGCAACGGAACCATTGGTTCCTAAGATTAGTGCGTTCAAACAAACGGTCTTCAGCTTAATATACGAACAGATAAGCATGCGATTCACCTTCAAAAATGCTCATGTAGGTTTAGAATTTTCATACTCCAATTTACTTTTCCTGGCCCCTTCCCCGTAGTTATGGCTACCGTTAAACGGCGTGGCTTCCTGATGTTCTGTCGGTAGTCTCTCTAGTAAGCCACACAGCGTATCAGCAGAATGTGGTCCCGCTCGTAAAATGTGTATTTCGCATTAATTTTCCACCGGCTCTGCGCATGCGCGAACGACGTTATAATAATACCCGGTCGTATCCAAAGGTCGGAGTTTGTATAAAAAGTTCGGAAAGGTCACAATGTTACGGAATCGTGTTGTAATCTCAATGCGATCGAAATTATTCGGAATTGCTGAGTTTGTGAGAGAATATATGTACCTAAATCATTTAATAATTGTATATGAGTGTATTCTCTCACACATTCTCTGTCTCATCTATGAATGGGCTATATATTTGGATGGTTTTTGAACTTCTGTGCTCTATATGCTTAATAATAGCTTGAGTTCGTGGGTTCAAATCGTAGAATAACAGTAGCGTCTCTATCACAGAAGTATGATGCCTGTAAATATATATTTTTAATGATAGACAGATAAGCGTGGGGTTTAACTTCATGGGATGTAACATAGCCCGGCCCATAGCATCTGAGCAAGATGCGCTGTTGATCTATTGCCTTTGCATATGCGGAGATCTACAGACTGAAAGCGAAATTCAGCTTGACGGCTTTTTCATTTGTAGACGGAATGTCTCTATTCCTACCACACATTTACTATCCAGATTAAGTCGAACATGTTTCAGAAAAATTCGAATCATATTGGACCCGTTGAGGATCGAATCCACGACCAGTTGATTGTTAGCCATGCATTGCTACCAAGAAGACCAACGAAAGAAATGTCAAGGTTCCGCAATATTAACTTTACTCAAGTAAACAACGCGAACATAGTCTCCTAGTATACATATAATATGGCGACAGTTTTATGTCATACAGTCGCCGTCAACTCACGATATAATTTTCATTACAATAAAACGTATAATGTGGAAAATTGGATCGTGACAAACAAACATGCCAGCTGCGTCATTGGAATATTTGTATGGAATTTTTAATTTAATTATTTGTTATGCTGTAGGGATTCATACCACCGTCTAATGAGGCTTAAAGATCAAAATTTCAATAAACATTCATTTTTTACGTTTAAACGTGAAATATAGCAGTTAATTGCAATCGATTGACTCGTTTCGGCGCTACTTTGAAATAAACAAACATAAAAACAGCCTGCCAAAATACCCTATCTAATTTTTATACATTTGTCACAATAAGTAGTTAAAAGTTTATTTTGGATAAAAAAAATCGATGACATGCGTAGGATTCGAAGCCACGACTTCAGCGATCCGTGGTGCTATTTTACTAATAGAAATCTTGCGCCAAGCGCCATAAACGTAATCGTCTTTTTAATCTAAAATGGACTTTTGTTAAATAAAAAATGGCAGTAAAATATGAAAATAAATAGAACGGTCCAATAACAAATGTTTTAAACATATCTTCGTAAGTAAATAAAAAATATAATGATACAATATTGTTTTTATTTTGTAGCAAACAATAATGCCAAAACAATGTATTTAACAACATAACAACCCAAAATGCCTCGTTATTTATAGAACTTGGCGCATTGTCGACATTGCTTAAGATCGTTGGAGTGTGTGAGGATTCGTCTCGTACTGTTAAAATAGGGTCTTGGTTTAATTAGCCGGTTCAAGACACACATTACAATATGCTAAGGGTACCCTTCGGCTTTACTCTTATTTTTGACAACATTGCTTACCTAAATTAGAAAGCTGTCTGTTGAACTATAATTTGGTTATTAACTAAACTTGATTGAATTTATCATCTTGACGTTTTGAACATATTTCTTACCTTGTTCGTTTTGGCGTTGAATCTTGAGAATAAATCTGTAGTTAACGGTTTAAAACGCGATGATAAGTTAAGCCAACTTTATGCGGAAGTGTTAAGGTAGAGAGGTTGAAAAAAAATCGACGATAACGTGTAGGACACGGCAGCTCAATTGGTTAGAGCCACAGAATGGAACGCTGTGAATGCCGGTTGAAGTTCTGCCCAT